ACAGTAAAACTATTTGTTGTCATTTTATATATATTTTTTTTCAGCTTCTTTAAAAAAAATTTTTTTTTCTTTAAATAACTATAAATTTGGAATATTTAAATTTTTTTTGTGCCTTTTAAATTATTTAATTCTTTTTTTTTACTCAACGTTCGTCTACACACTTTGTGGTCACTTTGCTTATTTTAATATTTAAATATTCATATATTTTTTTCTTTTCCTACTGTAGCATTTTAAGTTTGTAAATATTAGGGTAAATATTATATAGGGGTATAACAAGTTTTACAAATCAGAATTTGTAATTGTAATATCAGAATTTTTTACAAATTCTGATTTCTTTAATAAGACTGAACATCGCAGACCTTCGTTATAATTATTAATCTTAATTTGTAATTGTAAGATTAAAAAATTCTGATTTATTTTTGTGGGCATAATTTTATAAATTTTTATTTTTTAATATGTCTGATTTGCGCGTTCCTTCTTTTTATCAGACATGGTCATGGATACGGTTATGGATACAGATAATACCAAAATGCCTGCGGATCAGAGGTGGGTCGGAATTCCGATTTCCGCCTTCCGATTTCCGATTTCCGAAAAAAAATTTTGATTTCCGATTTCCGAGTTCCGACTTTTGAGCCATTTCCGATTTCCGACAGTTCCGATTTCCGACACCTCTGACTGTTCCGACCCACCTCTGCTGCGGATATCCGCCTGTATCCGCCGTAAATATCCGGATACGGATACCGAGATCAGTATCCTTGACCAGGTCTGCTTTTTATAATCAGAATTTGTAGTTGTAAATTAAAAAAAAAATTTTTTTTTACGAATTCTGATTTACATTAAATTCTTTGGGCAAGTATAACTTTATTTCAATTTAATTTTTTATTTCACTTTTCTTTAACAATAAATGATTTTCTTTTGGATATTCTGATGAATACATATATACTGAAAATTTAAAAAGTCCTTCCTAGCGTTCCTGGACTATTTTTAAATTATTCAAACAATTTTTGTATTTTTATTTTTTCCTCAACTTTTTTTTATTTTTCCATTTACTCCAAAAAATATTCTTCACTTTTCCCGTCGGTCATTTTAATATTTTAACAAAAAATAGGTGGTGAATATTGTGGAACGGTCATTCTTTGACCATAAAAGAAGCTTTTTTTCTGTCTCTATTTTTCCATTTAATATAAATTTGCATTTTTTCCTTTTTACGGTCAAAAATATGTCAACAACCAAGAAGCCGACAAGGGACATTTAAAAAAAAATTTTTAAATTTATATACATATTATTTTTAAGTGGACATACTTTTTATTTAATCTACTCGAAGGTATCGTAAGGCAAAGATATTTAGTAGCTTTTGTTAAAAATCGTCGAAACCGGGACGCCCTGGTATGGTTTGATGCTCTAGACGACCTGAATTCAACCATACCAGCTTGGCGGTACCTTGGGCTAGCTAAACCTTGGCCTGTTCCCCTGTCATACTCAGCACTTGTCTTGAATATTCAGCTTTTCTCAAGTGTTTTTATTTCTTAAATTGGCCAACTTGGATTTTAATTTAAAAAAGTTGACAAAATTGTAATCTTTGATTTTTCAAGTTTTATTTGATTATTATTCTGATTTTTTTCTAGTTTTTAATTAATTCTGAAAATTTAAGTTTACGTTTTCTAATTTTAAATTTAATTCAATAATTTATTAATTTAATTCCTCCTTTTTTTTAATAAATTTGTTCTCATCCAACTAATTTTTTTAATATATTCGTTTTACTGTTCCTTCAATCCTTCCAGTAAATGGGAAGAAAAAGCTTTTTTTAAACATTTGTTACTGTATTAGTTGGATTTAAATGAAGGATTTTAGGAATTGGTTAATATATTTATTTAATTTATTTTTAATTTCATAAGCGATTACTTCCTTCTAATATTTAATTAATTTATTTAAAACTTTGTCGTAACAAGTTAAGCTTATTTTATAAGTATTAACATGTTTTATTAAGTTTGTAGGTGTAATCTAGTTTGTAAAACTTGATTTTTTAAACTCAAGTTTATAAACTTGATTTCTATAAATTTTCTACAAACTCAAGTTTATAAACTTAAATAAACTTGCTCAAGTTTATAAACTTGATTTTTAAATTCAAGTTTATATACTTGATTCTATAAACTTAAGTTTGTAAAACTTAAATAAACTTGCTAATGTTTATAAACTTATGTTCTACAAACTCAAGTTTATAAACTTAATTTTTTAAGCTCAGGTTTATAAACTTAAAACCTACAAATTTAAGTTTGTAAAACTTAAATAAACTTGTTCAACTTATTTAAGTTTTATTTTCTCTCTTTAAAGTTTTACAATATGTAAAAGTTTTACAATCCTTTATTAATCCAAGTTTTACAAAATTACAAACTTGGAAACTTAAATTGACCAACTTAAATATAATTAAAAAAGTTGGTAAACTTGCAAACTTGATTTTTAAGGTTTTACTTGTTTATAATTCTGTTTTTTTCTTCTTTTGCAATTTATAAAGTTACACATTTATTTTACAATCTTGATTATATTATTATCTTTTACCCCATTTAATTTTATTTTTTTAAATATTCAGATATTCATTTAATTTTCTGAAATGGACCAATTTCATTCAAATTTACTTTTACTTCAATGCTCACGCCTTAAAACACCTCCACAGCCTTTTGACTGTGCTATTCGAGTGTTTGCATCTGATGAATTTGGATCTGAATCTAAAGGTGATTTTTTCTTTTTAAAAAGAAATTTAGAAAAATTTAAAAATTAATTAAAAATTAAAAAGAAAATTTAGACAATTTAAAATTTAAAAAGAAATTTAAATTTTTTAAAAAATTTTTCTTGTTTTTCTTTTAAAAATACGTGGAAAATAAAATAATTGTTTTAAAAAGGAAGAAAATTCTCTTGAAATAGTCACACACAAATTTTATAAAAATAATAAGGAATTAAATTATTGTAAGCGTGTTCGCATGTGTTTCACGTTCAATAACTCGAGAAAGGTTCTACATTTATTTTCGATTTTGGTACCATCGATAGAGAATTAAATAGCCTATTAACTAACAAAATTTAAGAATTTTTGATTTTTGTATTAAAAAGTTACGGTCATAAAAGTAATAATTTTGACATAAATAGATCATTTTTGTGTGTTTTTTAATAACAACAGTTTTTTTGATTATCCAATAATTTTGTTTTTTATATCATTTTATAGCAAATTTAATTCTTTATCGAGTTATACTAAATTGTTTCTGGAATAGTTTCTATAGTAGAGGGTTATAGCGGTTTAAATCATCTTTGTCTAGCTGTTCATTAAGTACTTAATTTTATTTTTCGAAAACAACATTCTCTTTCATTATCCAAAAATTTTGCTTTATCTGTCATTTTATAGCCAATTTAATTCTCTATCGAATGATACCAAATTGGTTCTGGAATAGATTTTTTATTGCAAAGGTATAGGGGCTTAAATCATCTATGTCTATGTAGCTTCTTACTCTTAAGCTGTATATTTTTTGACAGTAACATTTTTTCTTATTACCCAAAAATTTTATTTTTTACATCATTTTATAACAAATTTAATTCTCTATCGAATGATACCAAATTTGTCTGGAACAATTTTTATAGCACAAAGTTATAGGGGTTTAAAGAAGCTCACCCTTAAGTTGTTAAATTGTCTATTTATTTTTTTCAAAATTTTCTTCAATTTTTCCCCTTCTCTTTTTTTACCTTTTCCGTCATTTCTTGTTTTTAAATTATTTTCTTGTCTGTTCACAACTTTCTTTTTAACAAATTTTGTGCAAAAAAAGGTCGCGCAGACGTAAAATGGAAGGGAAATGAGTGGAGGTTAGCCTTACCTTTTTTGGCCTCTCTCGAAATTCAATGAGACGTTCGTTTAGGTAGCCCAAGGGGGTTCAAAACAACCTTTTCCTTCTTTCATTTTTCCCTTTTTTTAAATTTTTTGATGTGCATTTTATTTTTTTTTTATTTTATTTTTTTTTTCGGTGGTAAAGAGAAAAAGAGGAGGGAGGAGAGGGGGAGGGGAGGGTTTTTGGGTGTTCACTAAACTAAAGAAAAAATTTTTTCCTCTCGAATCAACGTGTGTTTTCTCTTTTAATAGTAATTTACAGACTGAGAGAATTCAGAAAAATTTGTTTTAAAAATTTATTTTTTGGTACAATTTTAAAATTTAAGTTTGAATTTAATTAAATTAATTAAGTGTAGACTGAATTTTCTTTCAAGGTTTTTTACAGCTTTTAAATAAAAGAAATATTCTGATATTAATTTAAAAAATAAATTAGAATAAAGGAAAACAAGAAAAAATGTTAAAAAAATTTTTTTTATTTATCCGAAATAAATCCACAAATTTTTTAACTACCTAGTAATTAAGGAGAAACATTTTAAAAATTACCAGTGAAATTAGAAAACGCAAACTTAAGTTTTACAGTTGTAGTATAATTCAAGTTTAATAAAATCAAGTTTAATTAAACAAAGTTTATTTAATCCAAGTTTATTTAATTCAAGTTTATTTAATTCAAGTTTTAATAAACCAAGTTTTTAATAAGGTTGCAATTGTAAATTAATTTTGAAATTGTAATTCAAGTTTTAATTAAACTATAATAATCCAACTTGAATTAATTCAAGTTTAATTATTAAACGAATTAATTAAACTTGGATTATCAATTTTACAATTGTAAAACTTAAGTTTGCGTTTTTCAAGTTTAATTATTCCAAGTTTTAATCTAAGTTTTAATAACCTTAGAATAATTCAAGTTTGTAAACTTTACTTTCTATTTTAAACTTAATTGTCAAAACCAAGTTTTTAATCACTAAGTTGTAATTGTAATTTAATTTTACAATTTGTGATTTAATTAATTTAACTGTTATTATAAGTTAAAAAATAATTGAATTTTTATTCTCTTCAAAAATTTTCAAAAAAATTTTCAAAATTTTTTTTCTCAATTTAGAACACTTAATATTTGTCCACAGTAATATAATATCAACCAAAAGTATTATTCTACGTTCACAACTGGATTCACAACCAACAATTGCGCTAGCGCGCTTTTTACTTTTGTTGCATGCTAGAGAAGAGGGGGCAATTCAGGGGCTAGCTACTAATGGGGCTTTAAATAATGAATTACGTGAAATTAAATTGGGTAGGTTAAGGGATATTTAAAAATTAAAAAATATTTTTCTTAAAGATCTCTCCGCATTACAAAATGGTTTAGAAGCGTTTAAACAATTTATAAATTTTCTCTACGGTGATCAATCCGCTGCTATTGGTGGTAGTGTTTCTGATCAGGTAGTTAAATTTTAGATATAAAATTTTAATGGATATCATACAGAATTTCATTCTGAGGGATTTTAACTCAAGGGGGCTAGCTTATAATTGTGTTAGGATTGACGGATTCAAGTAAATTCCCATATATCCAAGTCTGAAACCGGAATTTTTATTTAAGTAGTGGAGATTGTCCGGTGACCGGTGAATGAGTAGGTCTCGTGAATAGATAGAGTTGTCGGTTCTTGGAAAATTTCGGATATCCGGAACCGACCCGATATCCGAACCGAAAAATCAACGGTTCTTCGGTTCGGTTCGGTCCAGAACCGACAACCCTACTCGTGAATAATTTTTTGGTGAGTCAACACCAATGTATTGAATAATACGCCCGTATTTTGGGATTTTAAGAGGGGCAAGAAGCCATTTTGCCTTTTTCATTAAGCTCTAAAATAAAAATTTTTAAAATTTTATTTTCAGTTACTCCTTCTCTCCAAATTATTCGCCGTTCCAGATTTAGAAATGTCTATACGGTCGTCAACAATTTTAGATCTTCTTAAAGTTAATATAGGAGGCCAGTCATTAGAATCTCAATTACCTTGTAATACAACTCAGGGCAGTAGTGGAATAAATAATTCTAGTAATGGTATTTCACTACCAGAACAACTAGCAAATATTGGGGGATTTGTAAATAATAACAATAATGCTTCGCCGTTTAACTCCCTGCCTCTATATGCTGGTAAACTATAAATATTTTTCTTTTTTAAATTAATTCTGATTTTTAAAAATACCTAATTCTGATTAAAAATTCTGATTTTTTAAAAATAATTCTGATTAAAATTCTGATTTTTAAGAATTAATTCTGATTTAATTTATGATTTTTAAGAATTATTATAATTCCTATTTAATTTCTGATTTTTAAAAAATAATTCTGATTAAAAATAATAATTTTGATCAAAATTCTGATTTTTAAGAATTAATTCTGATTAAATTCTGATTTTAAAAAATGGTTCTGATTAAAATTCTGCTCTTTAAAAATTTATTCTGATTAAATTCTGATTTTTTAAAAATAATTCTGATCAAATTTCTGATTTTTGAAAATAATTCTTATCAGAAATTCTGATTTTTTAAAATAATTTTTAAATATTAGCAGCCTATTTACAAATGCAACAGTCATTGTTATTTACCAACCAATCTTCCAATAATACTACATTCCTTCAAAATCCACAACCAGCTTCAGTAACACAACTTGAACAACCTAAGAAACCAACTTTTGCGACCATGTTTCGAGATAAACACCGGTAAATTATCTTTTACAATTATTAGAATATTTTTACAAATTCTGATTTCTCTTATTTTACATTTTCTGATTTTTATTTTTTTACAAATTCTGATTCTTTTACCTTTTACAATTCTGTTTTCTCTTAGGTGTGTTTTACAAATTCTGATTTTATTTTACAACTGATTCTTTTCTTTTCTACAATTCTGATTTTATTTCTATTTTACAATTCTGATATTTTATTTTACAAATTCTGATTTTTATTTTTTACAATTTATGATTTCTATATTTTTCAAATTCTGATTATTTTACTTCTTACAATTCTGATTTTTATTTTTTTACAAATTCTGATTTTATTTTTATAAATTCTGGTTCCTTTATTTTACAAATTCTGATTTTATTACAATTTCTGATATTTTATTTTACAAATTCTGATTTAATTTTTATTTTTTTACAAATTCTGATTTTTAATTTTTACAAATTCTGATTCTTTTATTTTTCATAATTCTGATTTTATTTTTGTTTCACAATTCTGATTTTATTTTTGTTTTTACAAATTCTGATTTTTAATACTTTATTTTATTTACAAATTCTGATTTATTTCCTTTCTCTATTTTTCCACTTTTATATAATTACTTTCATTCCTTTCTAGTCACTTTCCTCCTTATTTTTAATCCTCCCACAAACATTTTTATATACTTTTAAGAATTCATTCATTAATCCTTTGAAAGAGAGAATATTCTGATTTGCTTCTTAAATTAATCACTTTATTGTTTCTTATCCGGTTTTTAATTTTTTTGGCTAATTTACAGCTTAAATTATTTTTTTTGATATATGTACTATAAATTTCCGGAATTTTTAGAATTCCATTTAGTACAAATTAAATGAAGAAAATATTTTTTAATTAAATAAATTTACCAAAAAAATTTTTTAATTTCCAGGTCAGATTCAGATAACGATATTATTATTGGAGAGGATTTACAACAACATAATAATCAACAATTATTAGATTCACAAAATCCTCTAATGGCTCGACGTGAGAGCAATGCATCTTCAGGCTCCTCTTCTATTCATTCTTCTATTGGGAACGAAAATAATTCAGCAATTGCTATGGGTGAAAGTGGAGGTGGAGGGGAGTTGTTACTTCCACCAAATGATAAAGAAGGTGGGGGGAAGTTTATTTATAATTACAAATTGTAATTATGTAAAATACAAACTGAAATAAGTTTTACAATTTGTAAAAATATTAAATTAGAAAAATTTTACAAATTGTAAAATAAGTTTTAAGCTTTTAAACTTTTTTTTACAATTTGTAGTTCAGATTTAAAACTTATTTTACAATTTGTAGAATAAGTTTTAAAATATTTTTACAAATTGTAAAATAAGTTTATTTTTGTAAAACTTGAATTTGTAAAAACTTGAAAATTGTAAAGTATTAAATATCAAAACTTTAATTGTAAAACTTTTTTACAATTTGTAAAAATATTAAAACTTGAAAATCTAAGATTATGAAAAGTTTAATTAAACTTTTGTAAAAAAACTTTTTTTTTCAAGTTTGCGATTTATTTAATAAACTTTTCCTCTCAATTTCAGGTTGGTGTCGAAATAAAAAATACATTCAAATTGTAAAAATGGGTTATCGCTGTCTTCTATGCAACAAAGTTTATGGTCGTTACAATTCTGTAGGTTTTTATCAAATTTCTAGAGAATTTTCTAGCTATAACCAACTTTATTAAAAATATCATCTTTTCTTAGTTGAAAGTTTAAGGGAATATATTCGTCATTTTAATTACCAAATAAGGCATAAAATAGGGGGAAAGGGATTATAAATAAAAGTTACTATAATATATTAACTTGCTTTTATGGAAAATCCAGTAAATATTTACTAAAAAAATAAATACAGTAAGATGATAAAAATACAGCAAAATTCTTCATTAAAAAATTTAAAGGTCAGTTACCATGTTACAATTTATCATCGAAATCCCCCTATACGATGTGAGGAGCAAGGATGTCAGTTTACAACCCGTGAAGCTCGTTATATACACTTTCACAAATATTATCGCCATCAAATTGCACTACCGGAATCTATCGATCTGGGTAATTAAAAATTACAGATTGTAATTATGTAAAAATACAAACTGAAATAAGTTTTACAATTTGTAAAATATTGAATTATAAAAATTTTACAAATTGTAAAATAAGTTTTAAGCTTTAAAACTTTTTTTACAATTTGTAATTCAAGTTTTAAACTTAACTTATTCTACAATTTGTAGAATAAGTTTTAAAACATTTTTACAAATTGTAAAATAAGTTTATTTTTGTAAAACTTGGATTTGTAAAAACTTGAAAATTATAAAGTATTAAATATTAAAACTTTAATTGTAAACATTTTACAATTTGTAAGAGTATTAAAACTTGAAAATTTAAGATTGAGAAAAGTTTAATTTAAGTTTTGTAAAACTTAAGTTTTTAAGTTTTGTAAAAAAAGTTTTAAGCTTTAAAACATTTTTTACAATTTGCAGTTCAAGTTTTAAACTTTTTTTACAAATTGTAAAATATTTACAAAGTTGATAATTTCAACTAAAATAAAGTGTTTTAAAAAATTACAAATTGTAAAATTTAATTGTAAAAATTTTTTCAGCTTCACGTAAATGTCCTCTACTTGGTTGCAAACATGTTTCGAAAAGTCCAGCAATGTTAGAAAAACATATGCAACGACACGTTGCAGATTGTCTTAAAGAAGGGGGATCATCTTCTATTTATATTTGTAGAATGCCCGTAATTAATGGAAGTATTACAACAAAAGAAGATGAAAATATGGATAGTATGGAAAATAATGATCCAGAAATTAATAAAACTTTAAATATGGTTAAGTCAATGAAGGAAAGAAGAAATACATATTCTGGTGGTTGTTCTGGTTCTTCTGTTGGAGGGCAATGCTTGTTTAAAGCAAATTCGAGAGAGGTGATTAAATTTAGAATTATTTGAGTTTACAAACTTTAATAATTTACAAATTGTAAATAATATATTGTAAAACTTGAAAATTGTAAAACTTAAAGCTTGGGACATTACAATTGTAAAAAATCAAGTTTTAAGACTTAAATTACAAATTGTAAAACTTGAAAGTTGTAAAACTTAAAACTTGAAATATTACAAATTGTAAAACATCAAGTTTTAAGACTTAAATTACAAATTGTAGAAACTTAAATTACAATTTGTAAAACTAAAATTATCAAATTGTAAATAGATTACAAATTGGAAAACTTGAATTACAAATTGTAAAACTTCATTACAAATTGTAACAAGTTTTTAAAAATTAAATTTATAGCTTATGTACGCCCACTTGTTAACCTGCCACTCTGCTTCAAGCGCCAGTACCACAACACTTTCTGCCGATGCAGAAAAGCGAGGTGTCGAAGAAGATGAAGATGATGAAACACGTTCGTTAGCTGGAGGAAAAATGTCCGCATCAGCCCCGAGTACCCCACCAACCTCTTCTTCACAACTTTTATCTCCTCTTCTTTCTCGTTTTCCATGCAATGAATGCAACTTTAGGTAGGGGTGGTTTTTTACTGATAACTTTTCTTTGAATAAAGATAAAAATCTAATTTTTATATCATTCGATAGAGGAGATTCTGGGCTACAAAATGATTATCAATACATTTTTTAAATATTTAGTTTCCTTAAAGTTATGGGTAAAAAAGTGAGGGCAGATGATTAAAAATAGGAGGAAAATTAATTTTAAAAATTCACCATAGGCTTTGAAAATTTTTTTGAAATTTTCTCGATATTTTATGTTAAAGCCCAATTTTTCCTCTACATTTTGATATATAATACATTTTTCTATCATGACTTTAAAAAAAGTTATGTGGCAAAATCTAGTGCTACCTCTAAAAAAAGTCTCTTGACTAGACTGCCGAAAAAAATTTTTTTTAACAAGAAAAAAAATTTTTTTCTTTCAGAGGACGTACACTAACTTCATTAACAAATCATAAATTACAAAAACATTCAAACAACAATAAACAACAAATTAATGGAACAACAACTTCAAAACCACCCCATTTACCACCAACTAAATGTTCTTCTTTTGTGTTGCCATTTAATCCTTCGCTTTTTAATTGTGGAACTGGAGGTGGAATTTTTGGGGGAAGTGGTGGTGGTGGAGGGTTTTCAGTTCCTGGTTCTCCTCTCTCTCCACAGGTAAAAATTTCTGAAAGAAAATTTTAAAAATTCATAGTCATGTTAGGGGATAAAATGTCAATGTATAAAATGGTAAAACTAAAATATGGTCAATTCTCAGGGTCAGAACTTTAAAATAATAATTCTTAATAATAGAGGTTGGAAAAATTGTGTTTGCGGGATCCAGCATGCGGGAGTAACTTTTAAAAACTCGCGGGAATAATCCCGCACAATCCCGGAAATCGGAAAAAGTGCGGGATTGCGGGAGGTATCCCGCAAAATCACGCGCGGGATCTCGTCCCTCACCGACCTCTACTTAATAATATTCATAATGGTCTGTCCTTTTAACTAACAAAATATTAATGTACAAAATGGTAAAACTAAAAAGACTCATAAGGGTCAGAATTGAAAAACTGCTTAATGCCAAGGTTAAATATATACAGTATTGTATTTTAGACTGGAAGCCTTGGACATGGCAGTAACAGCATCTACCCAACTGGATTGCCCCCCTCATTCTTTAACGGACCACCAACTACTTCAACAACAAATTTAAAAAGTTTAGGAGGTTTAATTAACGATCAACAACAAACAAACAATGCCCATCAATTATTGGCACAATTATTAGCAGCACAAAAACTTGCTTCAGCAATACTTTCTGCTGCAGCATCTACTAACTCTTCTTCTCCTCCTTCTTCAACTTCCCCAGCAACTTCAAGCTCTTCTTCTCCCCCAATTTCGACTGTTACTCAACAACAACAACAACAACAGTGAAGAATAAATAAATTTGTAAATAGGCAAAAAATGTTTTTTGTATTTATACCCAAAAATAGAATTAAATCTCAAAATATTTCTGATCAGTCGGACCAAACTATGAAATAACCCTGTATATTAGGGGAGCACCTCTATTTTTAATTTTTTGGTTAGCCACTAGGTGAGAGAAATTTTATGGCTAGGTGAAGGTGTTAAGGCACTGACCTCTGACGAGAAGGACCTCTGACAAAACTAACCTCTGACGAGACTAACGGACACGGTTAAGACTTAGGTGAGGTGAAGAGGGAGGTGAGCAGCAGGGGGAGTGTGTCTAAACTGATTTTAAAGAGCAAAAAAGCACAATTTTAATTACAACCACGGCAACCAGTTCTCACTAGAGGTTGTCTAAGCAATACTCCCCTCAATCTAAGATAACCTTAAGCTTACTTGGGTAGTAAGTAAGCAATATTTGCCTAAGAAATGCCCTCAATTTAAGATAACCTTAAAATACCCTCACAATTATTTTAAACCCAAGGGACTGTCTTGTAGTGAGGTTCGACTGTATTTACTTGTTTACTGTAAAAAATCCATTTGGGCGTGAGAGAAATTTTAGGGCGCGCAGGTGTAAATAGAAGAATACTTTTCCTACTTCCTTGTTTTATTTTTATTATTCCAGTAAAAAAAGACTTTCTTCTCAAACATTTTTTAAAATCATTTTAATTTTGCTTCAAATCCTTTTTAAAAATTATTTTTAAGTCTCAGCTTCATAACTCTCATAAAAATTTATCCACCCAAAAATTAATTATTCAGACAAATTTGGAGAGTTATGAAGCTAAGATTTTTATTTCTTTTTAAATTTTTTTCTGGCATTTTGATATTATTTTTATTTTCAATTACTTTTTATTATTGTTCCTTTCATTAATCCACTCCCCCTTAACCAAACCGGAATCAATTTATTTTTCAAAAATTATTTTTTAAAAGCAATCCCAGTCTTGCCAACAACTTTTGTTTTCTTCTACTTTAATCTTTTTTTGTTTCTATTAATAAATCTACACATTAAGAGACCCTCCCACCGCGAGCCCACTCCTTCGCTAGGCCACAACTTTGTTTTAAAATTCCTAAACCACCCGTAGCCAGGGGGAATTCCCTTGGCCCTCCCCCCGAAAAAATCCTGGCTACGGGCCTGAACGGCGGTAAATGTCAGTTTAATGTCCTATTTGGGTGATACCCTCTTTGCGGACAGAAAGTAAAATCGCATCAACCGGACATTTACCCTGAACGATCTAACAGTTTTTTTCAATTCAGCCGACGAGATGTATCGAACCATCACAAGTAGTGTGCGGCAAAATCGGATTCACGCGACCCAGGATTTTTTCAAAATATTTTACGGGACGGGATCCCGCGGGATTATTCCCGTAAATCCCGCTCGTTGCTTAAAACACGGGATTTCGGGGCAGGATCCAGTAAAATCCCGTACAGGGGGGGTTCCCGTCCCGTGCCGCACACTAATATCAAGACATTCAAGAAGTTGTGCACTGCGTCGGACTTGACTCACGGTGGAATGACCCCAATATCTCACCCCCCCCTCCCCCAAATTTATTATTTATTCCCATTAAATATATAAAAGCATTTTTGTTTACTTCCGGTAAGCTTTATATTTGTCTTTTTCTTTTCCTTTTTTTTATTAAAAATGCTCGCAAATAAACTTTCTGAGAATACAAAAAAATATTATTTTCAATTTTTAAAATTTTGTTTGGATAAATAAATTTAATTTTATTACAAAGATATATTAAATTTTATTTTAACTTAATTTATTTTTACTATATGAGGCAAAAAATTGATGAAATTAAGTTAATTAAACTAATGTCACTATAAAGCAAATTCGAGAGGTGATTAGTTTAAAATAATTTGTGTTTACAAACTTTAATAATTTACAAATTGTAAATAATATATTGTAAAACTTGAAAAATTGTAAAATCTGAAATATTACAAATTGCAAATTAAAAATTTCATATTACAATTTTTTACATTTATAAATTTCGAATCCATTCTTAATTTTTTTCTGTCCCCAACCACATGGGTAAAATCGCAAATATTGATTTATTGTATAAGTGCGTGCCTTAAACTGAAATTTTAAAATTAAAAAACGAAAAATAATTATTTAGCGATAATAATGATTATTACCATTTTTTAATTTTAAATTTTATTCGAAAAAATTTTTTTCCAGAAAATATAAATAAAAAATTAAAAAAATAAAAAAAATCTCTACTAAAATGTGCCTCACAAATCTCTACATAAATGTGCCTCACAAAAATGTGCCAAAATTTCGACCCCATAGGAAAATATTTCTTAGTAAAATAATTTAACCGAATAAAAAATTTTTTTAAGGAAAATAAAAATTTCGATAATTGGTTAAACATTATTAAATTCATTTCTTAAAGTTAAAAATTATTCGGTTAAATTTTTTAAGTAAGAATTTTTCCCGAAAATTTGGGCCCTAATAAAATATTTTTTAGTAAAATAATTTAACCGAATAAAAAATTTTTTTAAGGAAAATAAAAATTTCGATAATTGGTTAAACATTATTAAATTCATTTCTTAAAGTTAAAAATTATTCGGTTAAATTTTTTAAGTAAGAATTTTTCCCGAAAATTTGGGCCCTAATAAAATATTTTTTAGTAAAATAATTTAACCGAATAAAAAATTTTTTTAAGGAAAATAAAAATTTCGATAATTGGTTAAACATTATTAAATTCATTTCTTAAAGTTAAGAATTATTCGGTTAAATTTTTTAAGTAAGAATTTTTCCCGAAAATTTGGGCCCTAATAAAATATTTTTTAGTAAAATAATTTAACCGAATAAAAAATTTTTTTAAGGAAAATAAAAATTTCGATAATTGGTTAAACATTATTAAATTCATTTCTTAAAGTTAAGAATTATTCGGTTAAATTTTTTAAGTAAGAATTTTTCCCGAAAATTTGGGCCCTAATAAAATATTTTTTAGTAAAATAATTTAACCGAATAAAAAATTTTTTTAAGGAAAATAAAAATTTCGATAATTGGTTAAACATTATTAAATTCATTTCTTAAAGTTAAAAATTATTCGGTTAAATTTTTTAAGTAAGAATTTTTCCCGAAAATTTGGGCCCTAATAAAATATTTTTTAGTAAAATAATTTAACCGAATAAAAAATTTTTTTAAGGAAAATAAAAATTTCGATAATTGGTTAAACATTATTAAATTCATTTCTTAAAGTTAAGAATTATTCGGTTAAATTTTTTAAGTAAGAATTTTTCCCGAAAATTTGGGCCCTAATAAAATATTTTTTAGTAAAATAATTTAACCGAATAAAAAATTTTTTTAAGGAAAATAAAAATTTCGATAATTGGTTAAACATTATTAAATTCATTTCTTAAAGTTAAGAATTATTCGGTTAAATTTTTTAAGTAAGAATTTTTCCCGAAAATTTGGGCCCTAATAAAATATTTTTTAGTAAAATAATTTAACCGAATAAAAAATTTTTTTAAGGAAAATAAAAATTTCGATAATTGGTTAAACATTATTAAATTCATTTCTTAAAGTTAAGAATTATTCGGTTAAATTTTTTAAGTAAGAATTTTTCCCGAAAATTTGGGCCCTAATAAAATATTTTTTAGTAAAATAATTTAACCGAATAAAAAATTTTTTTAAGGAAAATAAAAATTTCGATAATTGGTTAAACATTATTAAATTCATTTCTTAAAGTTAAGAATTATTCGGTTAAATTTTTTAAGTAAGAATTTTTCCCGAAAATTTGGGCCCTAATAAAATATTTTTTAGTAAAATAATTTAACCGAATAAAAAATTTTTTTAAGGAAAATAAAAATTTCGATAATTGGTTAAACATTATTAAATTCATTTCTTAAAGTTAAGAATTATTCGGTTAAATTTTTTAAGTAAGAATTTTTCCCGAAAATTTGGGCCCTAATAAAATATTTTTTAGTAAAATAATTTAACCGAATAAAAAATTTTTTTAAGGAAAATAAAAATTTCGATAATTGGTTAAACATTATTAAATTCATTTCTTAAAGTTAAAAATTATTCGGTTAAATTTTTTAAGTAAGAATTTTTCCCGAAAATTTGGGCCCTAATAAAATATTTTTTAGTAAAATAATTTAACCGAATAAAAAATTTTTTTAAGGAAAATAAAAATTTCGATAATTGGTTAAACATTATTAAATTCATTTCTTAAAGTTAAGAATTATTCGGTTAAATTTTTTAAGTAAGAATTTTTCCCGAAAATTTGGGCCCTTCCTCAGGTAAAATGATTGAATCCATCTGACTTATTTTTTCTTTATTAGGTTATTTTTTCGGCCGAAAAAAGATTTTGTAAGGACGGTCCTGATGGTTATCGTGATTATTGGCGTGATCTACGCAAAGAACCGGCTATTTTTACAAAGCGTCTTATGGGCGGCGGTGGGGTGATGGTGTGGACGGGATTTCCTCTCAAGGGCGCACGAAAATCGTGTTTGTCCGTGTTGTGTAGTGGTGACACTACTATAAAAGTGGTGACACTACTATAAACAAAATGGTATGAGGGATTAATAAACAACCAAAATATAGATATAATTTATGTTGACTTTCAAAAGGCATTCGATAAGGTTCCAATAAACTATTTACTAGAAAAATTATATGCATATGGAATTAGGGGGAAAATACACAACTGGATTACAAATTTCTTACAAAATAGAACTTTCTGTGTGGGAATTAACGATGAAACATTTAAAACATTCAATACCCATTCAGGTGTCCCCCAAGGAACCATTTTAGCTCCTTTACTTTTTACCATATATATAAATGATCTACCTGCAAAGCTAGGGTTTAATATAATTCCATCACTATACGCCGACGATTTAAAGATATCATATTTATATAAAAAAATGATAACCTTCTCCAAGAAAAACTAAATACATTAACTGAATGGGCTAACAACTGGGGATTAAGCATAGCTCTCATTAAATCGTTTACACTATATATAGGAAACAAAAATCCCAAAATACCATATAAAATAAACGATCATAACTTGGAAGAAATGAATATAATAAAAGATTTAGGTATTCTAGTAGACAATAAACTAACATTTAACAAACATATAAAAATAATCAGCAGAAATGCATATCTTAGATCTCACCAATTACTCAGAACTATCCATACCTATAATCCCAAAATTTGGGGCAATATATTTAAAACCTACATACTTCCAATACTCTAATATGCATCGCCCATATGGAACCCTAAACAAAAAGATTTAATTAAAACTCTAGAAAAGGTTCAAAAATTTTATACAAGAGCTGCACTAAAAAAATGTAGAAATAAAAAACTTAAATATCAAGAAAGATTGAAACTATTCCAATTAGAGCCCCTTATTTTAAGAAGATTTCACATAGACTTAGTTACTATGTATAAAATATACTTTAATCTTACAAGCTTAAACCCCAACGAGTTATTTATACAAAATTCCAGGTCTAGTAGAAAACACAATTATATGATCCAGGTTTCACATAAAACTAATAAAACCTCAAATTCTTTCATAAACAGAACAACAACCATATGGAATCTACTCCCCAAAGAAATTTTCATTGACCATTCAATTAACAAATTTAAAACCCAATTAAAAGCAAACCTACCTCCTATCTTGGGAAAACTCCAGATAACCATTTAATCTACCCTAAAAATTAAACATAATAAAAAAAGTAGAAATTTAAAAAATTGCCTACATTATGTATTGACTCTCTCACACTACTTAAATTATCATATGTACCTGCAGAAAATAATTTTCTAATCCCCTCACGCCCAAAAATAATATTTATAAAACAAAATACATATCTCAATCAGACCCCATTTTATATTCATTTTTAAGAATAACATTATTTTTTTTCTAATTTTGTTTTTAAATATAAAATATTTTTTTCCAGAAATATCCATTAATTTTTTCTTTAATCATAAACTAACATTAATTTAAGATATTTGTGTGCTCATAATTTCTTTTAAAAAAACATACATTTTATTATACACTGGTAATCACTATGCTTACCAAAATAAACAATTCCATTTCTAACATAATTTTTACATTTGACGTTTTACTCATATATTTTTTTACTCATATATTTTTAAACATATATGTATTTTGTTACATTTTTTCTCCATATTAACGGTATATTGTATATCCTTTGGAGTAATGAATAAATTTGAAATTTGAAATTCTCCCTCAAAATTATTAATAAAATCACGAAAATATAAATTTGTTTGTTTAATTGAATATAATTTTTCATAATTGAGGAATTTAAGAATATCAAGTTTTGCTTCTGAATGAATCATTTTTGAAAGTTCATTCAAAGAATGAATCATTTTTTGAAAGAAAATTTAATAATTAACTAAAAATTAAATTAAAAAATTATTTAAATCTATACAGTTTGTTAGTTACTAAAATAATAGAATAGTCTCCACTAAATAATAAAATGGCTTTTATACTAAGCCAATAGCCAACACATGGTTTCTTAATTATAAGATACAGACCAAAAATAGTAGATACATTTTAATTTTAAAATCGCGGGTTAGAAGGACGGCCTAACAATATCCCGATTAAAGACACGCCTTGTTATAAGGCAAAATTTTTAAACTAAGAGGCACACTAAAAGTATGCCAAACAGGACCCCTTATAGGCCATAATAAATTTTCATTTACCGTATAACCTGTATTAATTGCCCTCCCTCGAATAATTACCCCACCTCTATTAGTTACTCCCTCTAGCGAGAGGTTGAAACAATAATTACCCTGCCTCAAATAATTACCCCCCTATTTTTCCTCACTAATTTAAAAATATTTATTAAAAAAGGTACTATCACATTATCACACACCATGCCCGTACATGTTTGGTAGAAATTTTTCCACAATGCATGCGCTACCTTCTCCTCCCTTCTTTTTCTCCTCCCAAAAAGATTAAAAAACGGTCAAAAGATATAAACCTTACTCCTTTTTATCTCCAAAGCCTCTGATATATATTTTCACATATTTCTTACATCCCGAGAAATAGTTTCCGATAGACTATGTGTCTTTATTTTATCCCGTGCCGGAAGTATCGTTGTTGTGATACCACTTTAGGGTATATTATATACATTTATGTAAGATATCAGTGCCTTTATGTAAGATACAGTGTCTTTATATATCCTAAGTCGGAAGCATTGGTGCTATAGTACCATTTTGGGGTTAGGAATATATTAAAGGAATATAGAATCAGTTCTAAAAAACGTTAACATTTACCTCCGCATTCGGTATCATATCGTATATCCCAGTTTCTGTCTATGATAGGATAAAATATGTAGAGGTCGAAATAATAATTACCCTCCCTCAAATAATTACCCCACCTCTATTATTTACCCCCTCCAGCGGAGGGTCGAAACAATAATTACCCAGGGTAGTTATTAAAGGATATACGGTATACTCTAATTTTTACGGAAACAGTATAATCACAAATATTTTAAAATAATTCATTCACCTCTTCATTTTTCCTAATCCGCCAAATTACACGGCCATTGAATGAAAGAAGTTTAGGCGAAATATGCCTATCCATCCAAAAGGAGAAAGAAAATTTGTTGAAAAATTAGTGTTATGGACAGCTAATTTTAGTAGACTATAAATTAATAAATACTAATAAAATGGACATTCTCGCCACGAACTTTCCGGAATATACAACTTAACAGAAAATACAACATTATTTATACCTTCCGGAAAAGTAAATAAGGAACAAAGTTCAGGAAACACACATTAATAACAAAACAAACAGGTATATACAATCGAAAAAAAACAGAAATACATTTTTATATTATTTTTAGAATCCGTGAATCTTACAATTATCCTCTTTGACAATACCCATTTTACACAAAAAATCATCATTATTGTTTGTTCTTATACATGTCCTGGAGTTTGGTTAATTTTCTGAAATTTGAACGAATTTTAATTTTTAAGGAAGTTAAAAATACCGTCTAATATCCTTTTCATCGCTAAGTTCATTGTACTCATATAGTATAGAAGCAAGCTAAAAAAATTTTTTTTAGTTATAAAAATTTTTTTGAAAAAAACAACCGCATTGATAGCCTCCTTGTCCTCTTCTACCATCTTTTTGGCCTCCAACTCGCAGAATCGCATGTTATTGTAAATTGCTCTCTCTTGTAGTGCCACAAACTCATTTGATTCTGGTTTTATTGTAGCTAGAGATTGGTCCTCAAGTAAGCCAAATTCGCGAACCTAAATCTTTTTTTTTACAAAAATTAATAGTGTATATTTTTTACATTAGATGCGGCAAGTTTCTCAATCGCCAATTTATCGGCTCCAAATAAGCTCGTCATCCCATTGTCACGTAAAGCCACTTCAGCTTGTCTTGCCCCCCAGAACGCTATTTGCAAATTGTTCTTCTCTTTCAAACTCCATATATGTTTTTCGCCATGTTCAATAATAGTACGTCCCAACAATTCCCCATTGGGGACAAGCGTTATCTAAAAAATACAATTTGTAGAAAAGGTTAAAACAGTCATAATAACCTTGACCACTCGTAAACCACCACGAAATGCGAGCCATGCGTGCCCGGCTTCATGAACGGATAGTTGCATCCGTTCATCGTCTGATAGTCCTGTTTTTATTGACGTATTGGTACAGGCTCTACATTCAATTGTCATCTGCCCTCCTAATACAAGCCTTCCATCGTGAAAACAATCACCATTCATCAAATTGAAAGGATAAACACCCTTAAAAATAAAAGTTATATGGCTACCCCTAAAAAGGTTTACCAACCTTTACATCCTCTACTTCATCATCCAATACTTTGTTGTCGGGTACTAAAGGCTTCAGACTGCCTTCCACAGCAAAAGTACAAGCCAGGGTTGCTGAGTCAACCTTAAAAATAAAAGTTATATGGCTACCCCTAAAAAGGTTTACCAACCTTTACATCCTCTACTTCATCAGCCAATACTTTGTTGTCGGGTCCTAAAGGCTTCAGACTGCCTTCCACAGCAAAAGTACAAGCCAAGGTTTCTGAGTCAACCTTAAAAATAAAAGTTATATGGCTACCCCTAAAAAGGTTTACCAACCTTTACATCCTCTACTTCATCAGCCAATACTTTGTTGTCGGGTCCTAAAGGCTTCAGACTGCCTTCCACAGCAAAAGTACAAGCCAAGGTTTCTGAGTCAACCTTAAAAATAAAAGTTATATGGCTACCCCTAAAAAGGTTTACCAACCTTTACATCCTCTACTTCATCAGCCAATACTTTGTTGTCGGGTCCTAAAGGCTTCAGACTGCCTTCCACAGCAAAAGTACAATCCAAGGTTGCTGAGTCAACCTTAAAAATAAAAGTTATATGGCTACCCCTAAAAAGGTTTACCAACCTTTACATCCTCTACTTCATCAGCCAATACTTTGTTGTCGGGTCCTAAAGGCTTCAGACTGCCTTCCTCATCAAAAGTACTAGCCAAGGTTGCTGAGTCAAGCTTAAAAATAGTTATATGGCTACCCCTAAAAAGGTTTAACCAACCTTTACATCCTCTACTTCATCAGCCAATACTTTGTTGTCGGGTCCTAAAGGCTTCAGACTGCCTTCCACAGCAAAAGTACAAGCCAAGGTTGCTGAGTCAACCTTAAAAATAAAAGTTATATGGCTACCCCTAAAAAGGTTTACCAACCTTTACATCCTCTACTTCATCAGCCAATACTTTGTTGTCGGGTCCTAAAGGCTTCAGACTGCCTTCCTCATCAAAAGTACTAGCCAAGGTTGCTGAGTCAAGCTTAAAAATAAAAGTTATATGGCTACCCCTAAAAAGGTTTAACCAACCTTTACATCCTCTACTTCATCAGCCAATACTTTGTTGTCGGGTCCTAAAGGCTTCAGACTGCCTTCCACAGCAAAAGTACAAGCCAAGGTTGCTGAGTCAACCTTAAAAATAAAAGTTATATGGCTACCCCTAAAAAGGTTTACCAACCTTTACATCCTCTACTTCATCAGCCAATACTTTGTTGTCGGGTCCTAAAGGCTTCAGACTGCCTTCCTCATCAAAAGTACTAGCCAAGGTTGCTGAGTCAAGCTTAAAAATAAAAGTTATATGGCTACCCCTAAAAAGGTTTAACCAACCATATTGAATTGGGAGCCTTTCTTTTTTGATTTGTAGAAGCAAGTGACGACACTGAAATAATTTAAAAAATTATTTTTTTACCGAGTTAAATAAACTTACATAGAAGTAAGCAACATGGCAACAAAGCCGGCAACCAACAGGGCAATCCAAACGGGTGACATTTTTAATTAGAGGTAGAATAAAGAAGTTGGGGGAAGATTGAGAAGCGGACGGCTTTTATAGTATGGTAAGCTGCTGTCAAGTAGCGTTCAACAGACCGGGTTTTTTCAGTAGCGGTAGTACCGAAAAGTACTTCCGGTCCGAGACTACATGTCACTACCGCGGCAGCACCTCACCGTGCCGAACACTTGCCAAACCAAGACCTCCTGTATATTTTTTAAAATTTGTTAGGGATAAAGTCCGTTAAGAAGGTATAAGATTTTTTACTTTTTAAACACAATTCTTGAAAAAAATAAAAATTTAATGAACACAAATAAAGAAATACAAAAAGTGAGAGTTTAGAAAAAAAATTTTTTTTGGTTGTTTCTTGTTGTTGTTGCTATATTTTTCTTTGATTTTCGATGATGCGAAATAAAAAATGTTTGTTGATACATATTAAATTAAAACATTTATGTATTTTTGTTGTTGTTGTCGTTAGGTTTTTTGTTTGCCTAAGTAAAAAAATAAATAAATTTTTTCCGAAAAATTTGATTAAGAATTCAGGGCTGTCCGCAATTGAAAAAAATTTTCCGCAGCCGCAATCCGCAATTTTTATTTTAAAATCCGCAAGTCAAAAAATGCGCAATTTCACGTAATCCGCAATTGCGAACAACACTGTTAAGAATCAGTGTTCATAGAACTGTTATATTGCCTGAGGCCATATTCTGATTCAAATGCCTGAGGCAATTCTAAGCCCTCAGGCAAACTAGATTTGTAAGCAAATTTTCTAACCAAATCCAAAAAGTTTAGACCCAGAAGATTTTTGTTGTGTAGCTCTAGGTTTTGTTGGGGAGATTGCACCACTACTTGTTGTACTCCCACTTCCACTAGTTGGTATTGTAATATTTCCAGGAGTAATGCCTGGAGATGTTGGAGTACCCAAACTTCCACTACTGTCTTTTTTACCGCTTCTAAAAAATATTTTTTTTAATTAAAATTGAAAAAAAATAATTTTTTTACATATTCATTGAACCCATAGAATTGGCCAAGTAACGCTTTGGATCAACTAATGCAGCCAGAAATGTCTGCAACAAAAAAAAAAGAATTTAAAATTGATTTTAATTTTTTTGAATTAGAAAACCTTAATTAAATAATTACAATTCTCAAGTTTATTTTTTTAATCAGTATTATTCCTTTTATTTATTTAAATACTGAAAAAAAAATTCTGATTGTAAAAAATTCTGATTGTAAAATTCTAATGTTATTACAATCCAAGTTATAAAATTAACTGCAATAGGTTTGTAAAATATAAAATCAGAATATTGTAAAATACAACATACAAACTCAGAATTCTGATTATTTAAATTCTGACAGAAAATAAAATTCTGACTCGTATTCTGATTTTAATATAATTTCTGATTTTTTAAAATTCTGATTTTAAAATTCTGAATAAAATTCTGATCTTTAATTGAAAAAATTCTGATTTTTTTAAAATTCTGATTTTAAAATTCTGAATAAAATTCTGATCTTTAATTGAAAAAATTCTGATTTTTTTAAAATTCTGAAAGAAAATTCTTATGTCAACTTCTGACTCATATTCTGATTTTAATATAAATTCTGATTTTTTAAAATTCTGAATAAAATTCTGATTTTTTTTAAATTCTGATCTTTTTAAATTTCCACCTTTTGCTGGTCTAACTGTGTAGACAATTTAATTAGCCACTGTTCTTTATCTTCACTAGTAGCTGACTGCGCCACAAAAGTGGCTGGTTGATTAGGGTCGTTACTTTGTAAAACAAAACGTAAGGGTTCATCAACAACATTTTCTTCTAATACCATTTTATTTACCTTTAAACAACAATTTTTTTCTTAATTTTCCCCCTTTTCCTTACCATTATTTGATTTTTAAAATTATACAAAGGATTTCCATATTCTTTTCTAGGAGGTATACATTCAGCAATAATTACAGACTGTTCAAATAAAAATACTCGACGCTCTTTTCCTTTAAACGGTTGGTTTATATTTCCATCAGAAATTATTAGAGTGCCCTTAAATTTAAATTTTATATTTAAGAACTTTTACAAATTGTAAAAATAGGTTAAAACATTTTTTACAATTTGTAAAATAGTAGGTTGAAACTTTTTTACAATAGAAAATAAGTTGCAACTTTTTTTCAATTTGTAAAAATAGGTTGAAATTTTTTTACAATTTGTAAAATAAGTTCCAACATTTTTTTACAAATTGTAAAAATAGGTTAAAACTTTTTTACAATTTGTAAAATAGGTTCCAACATGTTTTACAATTTGTAAAATAAGTTCCAACATTTTTTTACAATTTGTAAAATAAGTTCCAACATTTTTTACAAATTGTAAAAATAGGTAAAACTTTTTTACAATTTGTAAACACTGTTGCAACTTTAAAACTTATTACAAATTGTAAATAATTAATTTAAAAATTTTTTTCTTTATCCACCTGAAATATTAAACGCCCCTGAGCTGTTAAATTGCCTTGAAAGCCTTGCAATCGTCCCACTTGCATCATATCATCACACGCTTTAGGCACAACCCTCATAACATCATGAGCACGTTCTAACACTTCTGCGCGGTCATTAGCACGATGCGTGTATTTTAAAATATCACTGAGCATTAATTGGTACCTGTAAAAATTAAAATAAATTTTGTTTAAAATTTTTTTACAATTGTAATTTTAAAATTAAAGAATAGAAATTGTAAAGTTAGTAAAAATAGGTTGCAACCTTTTTTACAATTTGTAAAAAAATTAAAACTTTTTTTACAAATTGTGAAAACGTGTTGCAACTTTATTTACAAATTGTAAAAATAGGTTGCAACATTTTACAATTTGTAAAAATATGTTGCAACATTTTTTACAATTTGTAGGAAAAAAAGTTGCAACTTTAAAACTTATTACAATTTGTAAAAGATAATTAAAAAGGTCGAATTTATAAAACAATCATTTTACAATTGTAAAACTTTAAATTTCCAATTTAAAAAAATATAGAAAAGGTATATTTTCAAATTGCAACTTTAAAAAATCAGAATTTGTAAAATTGTAAAAACATTTTGTTTTTAATAAATTATTACAATTGTAAAAATTATTTTTTACAATTTAATTTAATTATAAACTACTTTGTAATTCGCTGAACAGGTTTAATAAGCAAATCATTAATAGACACTTTATGTCCAAGCCTGTCTTTTACATCAAAAAGTAATTGTTCAAAATTGTCTTGACTGACCAAAAAATCTTTTTGAAAATAAATTATTTCTAAAAATTATATTTTTTTATTTTTACCAGATTTTGGTTTATTTTGACAATATTTAACATAAAATGTGTGCAATCTCCTTTCCTTTAAATTTTAAAAATTTAAAAATAATTTAAAAAATATTCTCTCACATATTTAATAAAAGCATTTCCTGCTGCTTCATAATCTTGTAAACTTTTTTCAATTTCTTTACAAAAGACAGATCTATAAAATATTAAAAATTAATTTTTTTATTTAAAAAATGATCCCAAGCCCACTGTTTGGAAATTTAAAATCGGAATTTTTTATAATTTTTTTTTCAGAAAAATCAGAATTATTTTCAGAAATTTTTCTGAAAAAAAATCAGAATATTTTTCAGAATTTTTCAAAAAAAATCAGAATTTTTTTATATTTTTTTTCAGAAAAATCAGAACCTTTTCAGAATTTTTTATAAAAAATCAGAATTATTTTCAGAAATTTTTCTGAAAAAATCAGAATATTTTTCAGAATTTTTTTCAAAATTTTTTTGCTCGGCCTATTTTATTTTCTCATACACATACTCGTAATAGATTCGAGTACAAATTTTGGTACAAACTTTAAAATATTCCCCTACTTACTTATGAAAATCCAATATTTGTTCAATATTTGCAAATATTATTTTAACTTTTTCTCTATCCTCATCACTCAATTCCATTTCTTTAAGTGTTCCAATATACCCATCAACTATAGAAGCTAAATCAACTACATAAGCACGTTCTGTTTCTACAAGTTCTTGAAGTACATAACTAAAGGGAGAAAATAATAATAAATCAGAATTAAAATTTAAAAAAAATCAGAATTATAAACGAAAAATAAAAAATCAGAATATTTGAAAATACAAAAAATCAGAAAAATCAGAATTTTCCAAAAAAAAAAATCTGAAAAAAAATCAGAAATCAGAAATTATGATATTTTTCAGAATTTCCCCAGAAAATCAGAATTTAAAAAAATCAGAATTTCCTCAGAAAATTAAGAAAAAAATTCAGAATTTTAAATCAAAATTAAGAAAAAAATCAGAATTCAATTTACAATATTTATTCTGATTTAAATTTTAATAATATTCAAAAATTAAGAAAATATTTTACCTTCTCTTCAATCTAGAACTCTCTTCCGGGGTCATTTGTGGGGGTGATGGAGCTGTATTGGTTGTTTCTTCTGTAGTTGCTTCTGTTATGTTATTTTCAGTCAACTTAAAAATTAAAAAAATTAAAATTAATTTTTTAAATTAATTTTTAAAATTATTATTCTGAAGAATTTAAATTTTTAAAAATTATTCATAAAAAATTTAAAAAAAATTTTTTAAGGAAAATTAAAAATTCATTTCACGTGTATTTAAAAAAATATTTTTTTTATTTATTCCCTCTATTTTCCCCCAACATTTAAAAAAATTTGAAAAAAAAATAAAATAAAAAATAATTCATCCAATTTAAATCAAATAAAAAAAAGCGGAAGAAGAAACAGACATAAACATAAATTAGTGTATATAGTTTTTATTTTAACAAAAGTTTATGTGTTCCATTTTTAGAAATTTTTTAATTTATTTGAGACTAATTTAAGGGGAAAAAAGTTGTGTTATAAAAACAATAAAAAAAGATGAAATAAAAAATCAGAATTAATTGAAAAAATCAGAAATAAAAGAAAACACAAGTTTGTATTAAAAAACAAATGTTTTTAATCGATAAACAACAGAAAAACAATCAGAATTTGTTAACAACAAAACAGAATTATAAAATCAGAATTTATTTTAAACATAAAACATATTATTATTGAAAATCAGAATTTAGTAAATTAATTAAACAAAAAATCAGAATTTAATTAAAACATTCAGAAATAAATTACAAAACCAGAATTTATGCAAAACACAACAGAATTATAAAATCAGAATTTGTTTTAAACATAAATTAAACAATAAAAACCAGAATTTAATAAAAACAAAACAAAACAAAATAGAAATCAGAATTTCCTACAAACAATAAAAACAAATAAAAATCAGAATTTAATTAAAACAAAAATAAACTTGGATCACAAGAAAATCAAAATAAATTAATTAAAACACACAGGAAAAACATAAAGCAGACATTTAAACACGTGAGAAAATATGCTATTTTTGTCACGACTAAATATCCCCAGTTCCATCATAATTAGTCAATAAATTATATAAATAGTTTGGCCGAATTAAATCAAAGGCTGTCAATTTTCATTTTTGATGGAGGGGATTAATAAAAGAATTTTTTTAAAAAAAGTGAAACGTTTAATTCACAATGCACTTACATAAATATAAAATAAATATGTAGATAAATTGAGAAAAGAAAAAGATGAGAAAAAAGGATTTAAAAAGAGATGAGGAGAAAAAAAAACTTAATTTCCTCTCCAGAATTTTTATTTAAAAAAATATTTTTAACTTAAAAAGTTTAATATAAAAATATTAGAAGATAAAGTACTCGAGAGTCTAAAAATGTTTTAAAAATATTATTTTTAAATAAAAAAAATATTGAGAAACTTTTTGGCACAAAAAACTGTTTTTTATGCTTAAAAGGAAAAATAAAAATTATTTTATAAAAAAGAAAAATTTAAAGTCGTGTTTTTATTTTAAATCCCTATTAAAAAAAGACCAGAATTAAAAAAAATATTAATTAAAAAATATTCTGATTCTGATTATGAATTATACAGGTATTCTGGTATATATTTAAAATAAACAAATAAACAGAATTAAAATTCAAACAAAAATTCTGATTTGTAAGTTTGTTAAAAACAAAACAAACAAAAATCGGAATTTATTAACAACATTCTGAAAAAAAACATTTTGAATAATTCTGATTTTTTTTATAATTACAAATTCTGATTTTTAATTAATAAATAAACTTGTTTGTAAAACAGAATAATAATTCTGATTTCAAAATTCAGATTTTTAATTAAATTCTGATTTCAATAAATTCAGATTTTTATTAAATTCTGGTTCTAAAATTCTAATTTTAATAATTCTGATTTTTAAAATTCTGATTTTTAATAAATAAATAAACTTGTTCGTAAAGTATTCTGAAATTTTTATAGGAGTTCAGAATGTTTTACAAACAAGTTTATTTATTTATTAAAAATCAGAATTTGTAATTGTAAAATAAATCAGAATTATTGTAGAAGTTAATTTAATCAGAATTTTATTTATTTTACAATCTTAAAAAAATCAGAATTTAAAAAATATTCTGATTTACTTAAGACTCTATTGCTCAAGTTTAAACTTGATATTTTTAAATAAAAAAGAGAAGTAAATTTAAAATAAAAAAAGATAAAAAAGAGGAAATAAAATAAATTGGCCCAATTTCCTCCTCTTTTTCTAGTAAATATTTTTTTTAAAAAAGTTGGATCAATTTTTCTCTTTTTTTATTGTTGACTAGAAAAAGAGACTATCAAGAAAAATGTGTTATGCATTTTAATCAGTTATGCATTTTAATCAGAGTCCTCTAAAAGTTTATATTGAGTTTCGGGAGTAGAAGAAAAGAAAAATAAATTTAAAAATAAAATTAAAAATAAGAGAAAGATCAAAGAATTTTAAATCGTAAAAAAAATATTTTTAAAATTCTAAAAAATCCCAAAATTTTAAAAATAGAATTTAAAATAAAAAAAAGATAAAAAAGAGGAAATAAATAAAAAAGAGGAAAAAAAATTTTTTAAATTCTAAAAATTCTCCCTCTACCTCATTTTCATGTTCACCACCATTTTCTACTCCTCCTCCACTACCACTTCCACCAATTTGATCCATTGGAGGTGGTAAATCTAATAAATCGTTGTTTAATGAAGACCCTTCTTGTTGTTGATTTTTATTTATTTTTGTTGAGGGAGAAAGTATTTTATTATTATTACAATTTGTTGTTGTAAAATCAGAATTTGTTGATGTAGCTGATTTAGGCCTTACTATTACTGTTGTGGAAGGAGAAGAACGGCACTTTGATTCGCCTTTTTGACTTGAGGAAGTGAAGAAACGACTGGAAAAAAATTTAATTTATTAATTTTAAATTTTAAGAATTTTTTTTTAATTTTGTTAAGAAATAAAAAAAATTTTTTTATTTTTTAAATTAATTAATATTAAGTAAAATTATATTTTTTATTAATTTTATTTTAATTTTAATTATACGTTAATTCTTATATTTATTAAAAATTTTACTAATTGTATTGTTAAATGTTAATTTGTATTTTATAAATTACAAATTGTAATAAGTTTATTAATAATTCTGTTTTGCAAAAACAATTTCAGAATTTAAAATAATTCAGAATTTGTAAATTCAAGTTTTCAAGTTTATTTTTATTTAAAAATTGAGACTTGAAACTTGAAAACATATTTTTTACAACTTAAGTTTTACAATTTGTATTTACAATTTTTAGTACTCAAGTTTATTTATTTCTAAGTTTATTTTTTTATTAAACTTAAAACTTGAAAACTTGCTTTTTTACAACTTAGTTTTTACAATTGATTTACAAACTTGGTATTCAAGTTTATTTTCAAGTTTATTTATTATTACAAACTTGAAACTTGAAAACTTGCTTTTTTACAAACTTAAGTTTTACAATTTTAGTATTCAAGTTTATTTATTTTAAGGCGTATTTATTTTCAAGTTTATTTTCTTATTCCAAACTTAAAACTTGAAAACCTGCTTTTTTACAGACTTTTCTTCAACTTTAAAAATAAACTTAAATTTAACTACAATTATGAAAAAAAAGTTTCAAGTTTGCGATATAGACTTATAAACTTAAGTAAAGCCGACAACAAGAAAAAATTACTATATATAATTTATTTTTTGGCAGTAAATTGATGAAAATTTTATTTAAAATTATTTTTTTCTTTTAGTGTGACGCAAATAGATAAGTAGAAAATGCAAATAAATATATAAAAATAAAAAGTATTTAAGTACCCCAAGGGAAAGGAAAAAAATGGGAAAATTTTTTGAAAAATAAAGAAAAAAGTCGATTATTTTTAAGGACACAAAATTATTAAAAAAATTTTATTTTTTTTTATTTAAAAAGAGAAAAAGTGTTTGTTATTATTAAATATTTTTTTTATTATTTTATTCCAGGAAAAAAAAATTTTTAAATATTCCACTTAAATACCTCTCCTTATTTTTCTTTAAACTTTTTAAAGTCCTTAAATAATTTTAAAAACAGCAGGAAAAAAAGTGAAGATGACGAAGAAAAAATAAAAATAAAATATAGGAGGAGGAGGAATAAAAAATAGAAGAAAAAATTTAAGAAATGGAAGAATTATTAAAAGAAAGTATAAGTAATAAAAAGAAGAGAAAAAAGAAGATAAGAAGAGTATTGTAATAGAAATATTATCAGAATTACAAATTGTAAAATGTTTATTTAAATAATAAAATAAACTTGATTGCAAAATTCAGAATTACAAATTTTGATTTAATATAAATCAGAATTTGTAATTTGTAATAATAATTCAGAATTAAAAATCTATCAATAAAATAATAATTCTGATTTAAATAATTTGTAATCAGAATTAAAAAACTGATTCAAAATTATAAACTTTATTTAAATAAAATTCCGATTGAATAGCAATCAGAATTTGTAATTTGTAAAAATAAAACAATCAGAATTACAAATTCTGATTTTAATTGTGAAAACTTTATTTAAATAAAAATTCTGATTTATATCAGAAGTTGTAATTTACAGCCAGTATTATAAATCAGAATTACAAATTCTGATTTAATTATATAAACTCTAGCTAGTTAAATATAAATTCTGATTCAATATAAATCAGAATTTGTAAAAAAACAATCAGAATTACAAATTCTGATTTAAAGTTGGAAGCCCTATTTGAATAAATATAAATTCTGATTTAAATAATTTGTAATCAGAATTACAAATTCTGATTTAAATTGTAAAAAGCTTATTTAAATAAAAATTCTGATTTATATCAGAAGTTGTAATTTACAGCCAGTATTATAAATCAGAATTACAAATTCTGATTTAATTATATAAACTCTAGCTAGTTAAATATAAATTCTGATTCAATATAAATCAGAATTTGTAAAAAAACAATCAGAATTACAAATTCTGATTTAAAGTTGGAAGCCCTATTTGAATAAATATAAATTCTGATTTAAATAATTTGTAATC